TAGGAGAATCTATTGTAAAACTGGAAAAAAACAAAATTTTAATTCTGTCTCCAGGTATTGAACCTGGTAAAAAGTTAATTTCATGGTTTAATTCTGAACCATTGACAAAGTGTGTAGTGGTATGGGGAGGAGGATTTGTTTTAGAGCCATTCATCTGTCTTAAAAATAGTGCAGTTTCAGCCAGGCACAGTGGCTCATGCTTGTAATCCTAGCTACTTGGGAGACAGAGATCAGGATTGTGATTTGAGGCCAGCCTGGGCAAAAAGTTTGTGAGACTCCATCTCAACCAATAAAGCTGGACGTGGTGGCAGGCACCTGTCATCCCAGCTACTTGGGAAGCATAAATAGGAGAATCTCAGTCCAGACCAGCCTGGACATAAAAGTGAGCCCCTATTTGAAAAAGAACTAAAGCAAAAAGGGTGAGGGGTGTGGCTCAGGTGGTAGAGCTCCTGGCTAGCAAGCACAAGTCCCTAAATTCAAACCCTAGTACTGCCAAAAGCAGAAAAAGTGTACTCCACCACCCACCTCTGATATAACATTACCTTATGAATCCCTAAGAGAGAAAAATGCTAATTGTGTAACTCAATGCCCTCTCATTACTTAGACTTTCCCCACACAACAGCTACTTGTTCCTCTATGCTGACATTTTCTGCACATTTCTCATGGAGTATTCAGGACTTTCTTTCAACCCTCTGACATGCATTCTGCTAGTTTTTACTGGGACTTTTCTTAATCATAACAAAAGATGTCAACAAAAAGCTCCAGGTAACTGCAGAAGCACATTTGAAATGGCAGTACAACCCATATTACTTCCTTTGCCACATTATCACACATCTTCCTTGGCCACAGGAGCACAGGATTTCACTGTCTGGCTGTTTCAGGCTTGTTAGCTATGGACTCGTGACTCTGGCTCAGCTCACAGACGACCATAATGCGACTTGTCAACAGTGGCTGGGCTCCAATGTTGACAGCAATCCCATCCCCCATGCTTCACTCACTGTATTAGTTTTTCATCACTGTGACAAAATACCTGACATAACTAACTTAAAAGGAGGAAAGATCTATTTGGGCTCACAGTTTAAGAGGTTTCATTCCCTGGTCATTTGGCTCTGTGTTTTGGGGCCTGCAGTAAGACGCAGCATTATAATGGAAGGCAGCAGCGGAGCAGAGTGACTCACAATTTGGTGGCTGGGAAGCCATAATGGAAGGGGCCTGGGACAAGACATAGCCCCCAGAACCCACCTCCAGTGACCTACTTCCTCCTACTAAACCTCCCCCCCCAAATGTTTCCACCATCTCTCAATAATGCAATTAAATTATGAGTAATTGGGAAGAAGAAGGGGAGCAGAGAAAGGGGAAGAGGGATAAGAAGGGTAATGGGGGGAATGTGATCCAAAGCACACTATATACACATATAAAAATGTCCAAAGGAAACCCATTAAAATACATACACAAAAATAGTGAGTCCATCAGTGGATTAATCCATTGATTGATCATGAGCCAATGACCACTCAGTGATTGGATCCAAGAGCTGGGGACCAAGCCTTCAACAGATGAACACTTTTGGGGAAACTATAACACCCACCTATGATAAGATACTAAGGCATGGAGACCTTGAAACAGAACAAAGGGTTCTAAAATTAGCTTCCTTTGTGTCATACTTTATTTTCTGTTTTCATTGCTCACACAAAAGGTTTCATCATGAAAAGGAGGAAGCTCAAACTGAAGTGAATTACAAACTTCATTTCCAACAGAGGACTGTGGCTGGTGCCTGAGCTGAGCCATGGTCTAAAAGATGAGACCATGTGCAAGGCATAGCCACACACTCTGCTGAACTCTCCTCCTCCCTTCCTCTTCTACTTCCTTCACATGCCTAGCTCTCTTTCTCTCTCCTGAGGATTCAGTGTACTAAAGATGCTGCCTACAGTGAGCAACTTTTCTAGACTCCTAGAGGAAACCTGTGAGCTGATGTGACAGTCTGAGCTGAGAGGCACACAAGGGTAAAGGGATGGAGATGGTTGCGTCTTTCTTGAGTTCTGAGCCGCAGCTTCCCACTTCTCCCAGTGCAGATTCCCAACAGTGCAGATTCCCACTTCTCTCTGTCCTACCAACGCATTCTGGGCTAAAGCGAGAAGGAGGAAGGGCATTTTCTGTATTATTTTGCTCCTCTCCTTTTTCTTTTTTTCCCACCATCACTGACCTATCCTGATGCCTCCCACCCTTGCCAGCCCTCTCACTCGTCTTTCCAAGCATGTGACAAAGGACTGAACCTTGGCCAACAAACCTCAGCTTCTCTAGTGAGCTGTAAGATTGAATCCTGGCTTGGTGACTCGGGAGCTGAGTAACCTTAGAAAAGTTACTTTCCCCTATCTAAATCTCATTCGCCTCAGTCTGTCTTACTAGTGTTGCTTCACAGTGTGAGCCAAGTTGAATAAGAAAGGGTGCGTAAAGCCTGACGCATAACAAGCACTAATTAGATTTCATTATTATTTCCATTCTGTCTTAGGTGTTGGTAATTAGCTTCGTTTTATTTTACTTTATTTTTTTTTTGGTAGTATTGGAGTTTGAACCCCATGCCTTGCACATGCTGGGCAAGCACTACCACTTGAGCCACCCTTAGTCTTTTTGGCTTTACTTATTTTTCAGAGAGGGTCTCACACTTTTTTGCCCAGGGCTAGACTCACACCACAGTCCTCCTACCTATACCTCCCATGTACCTGGGATTACAAGTGTGAACCATCACACCAGCTTCTTTGTCAAGATGGGATCTTGCTAACTTTTTGCCCAGGCACTGAACCTCGATCCTCCCAAGCTCCATCTCAAGAATAGGTGATGTCACTGCACCCAGTCCTGAATGCAATTTTTTAAAATCTTATTCTTCCCACATTTTAGCTTCTGTGAACTATTCCAATTTCTTTTGTTCTTATTCTTCCTGACTCATTTTACTTTCCCTGTGTACATGCATAAAATGGCATTAAGGAAACTATTGAGTTGGCACCAGTGAAAGGTCTGATGGGGATAACTGTGCTCAGAGTTGGAATTCCCACAGCTTGTTGTGGCCATAGCATGTCAGGTAGCGGGTATCTGCATCCCACAGCCATGGCTGGAAATGCAACAGGACATGCTCACTGCTCACCCTTTTGCTTGGCTTGGGTCTCCTAGGAAGGACTAAGGAGGAGATGTACACACAAGACCTACTTCTGCCAGTTCAGTGCCTTTCCTCTAACTGGTGTGCAGATTGTGAGGAGAGAAAGAAAATGTTTTTCCAATTATTTTTATTGCGGTAAAATACACATACCCTAAAATTTACCATCTCAACCATTTCAAGCACATAGTTAAGTGATAATAAATACACTCATACTGCCATTCATTTCCAGAACTTTTTCATCTTGTAAAACAAACTCTGTACCCATTAAACACTAACTCCACATTCTTCCATCAACTTAGCCCCTGGAAAAGACCATTCTGCTTTGCCTCTGTGAATGCACTACTCCACATACCTTACGAGTGGGATCATAGAGTACTTGTCTTTTTTGTGAATAGCTTATTTCACTTAGTATAATGCCCTCAAGATTCTGTCAGAATTTCCTTCCTTTTTAAGGCTAAATAATATTCCATTATATGTGTATACCACATTTTGTTTATATAGTCATCTATCAATGAACATTAAGGTTGTTCCACATTTTAGCTACTCTGAATAATGTTGCTACAATTGTGGGGGTACAAATAGCTCTTCAGGACTCTGCTTTTAATTCTTTTGAGTATATATCCAGAAGTGGAATTGCTATGTCATATGACATTTCTCTGTTTAATTTTTTGAGAGACCACCATACTGTTTTCCATATGTACCAACTGACACTCTGACCAACAAGAGCACACAAGAATTCAAATTTCTCTACATCCTTGCCAACGCTTATTATCTTCTATAAAAACAGTAGCCATCCTATGGGTGTCAGATGATCCCTGCAGCTGTGATTGGCAATTCCCTAATTATTAGTGATATTTAGCATCTTTCGTGTGGCTATTGTCCATTTGTACGTATTCTTTGGTGAAATATCTAAGTAGAAAGGGTAATCTTTTGAATGCATGAACACACTACATTTAGGGGTTTTCTTTCCTTCTTACAACTGGCATTTCTAAAGACTATACTTTCAGAGATTATTTCTATAGTTCATTAGTAGAGAAGTTTCTCTGATTATGTAGAGTACCAGAAACCATGAGGAAGAGGCACAGGTTCTCTCCTGAGTTGTGAAGACAGCTCTTAGTGTTGCTTCACTGAAACTGCTACTTGCTATTGAGGATCATTCTTACTCTTTCAGAAAAGTAAGAAGGAGAGAGCACAGTCTGAGTGGTTTTCTTCTTCCTCAAAAAAAAAAAAAAGAATCATCATTTCTGACAGATAAAAGATGAAAACCAAGGACATAGAGTCATTGTCGTCTGTTGAAGCTGTCTTTAGAAAGAGAGCCAGAGTTGGACAGCCGGAGATGAACTATCTATTATCTTCCAATCAAGAGCTAAGGCTCAGTCATGGTGAATAGTGTGGAAGAAGTGTTCTCAGTTTAGCATAGTTCTGATATCCCACTTACACAAAAGGATTTGAGACCTGCATTATATAAAGGGTGGTGGTATCATTAATTAGGAAGATAGAAAATAACGGTCTGGGGAGAGGGCATGTATTAAGAAGTCTCCTGTAGAGGTCTATCTATCCTAACTGTCCTAGTAAGTGTTGCCAGTCACACACCCCAGTCGCTTTTTTTATTATGGCATCTGTTTTAGTGTCATAGTCCCTATTATCCAACATTTTTTGTTGCTTGCTGACCCTATAGAGTGTAAGGTGCATGAGGACAGGGTCTTACCAGTCCTGTTTAGATATATCTGCTTGGTGTTGATAAAAGTTGTCAAATTAATGAATAAATGAGGCAACTTAGTTGTGATATTCTCCCTGTATTCATTAATTATACTTCTATTCCCTCAATTTTCTGATGTCTGTACCTAGCACGATGAAGAAGAAGAGCCAGAAGTCAATAAATAAGCAAGTTGCCCTCTGCGGTCCACAGTCTCACAGATCAGAAGATCTTACAATGTTGGATGGAGGAGAGTATGCCCCTTTTGTTTCTCTTCCCGTGCTAGAGAGCAATTTTATTCAGGTAAATAATACTAGAGGCCTGAATTAAGTTCAATATTTAACTTTCTCAAAGACAACTGAAAAGGCTGGGAAGAGAGTTGTTTTAAATGTGATAAGTGACATTTAAATGATCTCTGTGTGAGCTCATTAAGAAGAACAATTTTGGAACATTATACAACCCAAAATAATTGCAATGTTAAAGGGACATTTATTTCAAATGTTCCAAAAAATATTAGGTAGGAATTCTGCCTCATTCTAACAAAACCTTCCCAAAAGCTACACAAGTGATTTTAAAACACCCTGACACAGGAAAGCATTCTTTGACCTAGAAGACATTTTAAAGAAAAACATCTAGGGCTGGATGTATAGCTAAGTGGTAGATCACCTGCCTACCCCAGTACCACAGGAAAGGAAGGAAGGAAGGAGGGAAGGAGGGAGGGAAAGAGGGAGGAAGGGAGGAAGGAGGGCATTCATGACAAACTAGAGGTTAAAATGAATCTTAGCTCTTAGTTCTGAGGGAAAAACCTAACTGTCAGACAGCATCGGGGAGAATAGCTTCCTTCTCATAAGAATGTACCTACAAATACAAGGATGAGCACTGAAAGCTGTTGAAAAATGGAGGGTGAGAGGTAAAGGGGTAAGAGAGAAATGGAAGGGGTTGAATGGACTAAAGTAAAGTACACCCACAGTGGACATACACTGAGACACCCTTTTGAACATCAACTTAAAAATTAATAATGAAAACCAGGACTGTGAAATAGGTACAGTGTGTATGTATGGTGGGGAGTACTAGTGGGAGGGGGAGGGTGAAGGAAGGAGATTAAGGTAAGTGTATATGGTTGATGGACTCCATATACCTATACGAAAAAGAACTAAGAAATCTCTTACAATTGCTTTAAGTGGGGTGGGGAGGAGGTTGAGGGGGAGACACGATGAGGGCAATGTAAATAATGTGCAATATAAGTCTAATCAAAATTGTCACTACGAATCCCTCCCAAATAATGAATGTATCCTAATTTTTAAAATTTATATGTATATATATATATATATATATAAATATATATAATACATATATACATATATATATATAAGAAAACCCACACAATAAACGTTAAAAGGAAAAAAAAAAGAATGTACCTACATTATAAATGAAACCATTTCAGCACATCTAGAAACAGTACTCACTTCCCTTTAAACATTCAACATTAGAATATTCAGGCAAAGATCAGAAGGCAGAGTTTAGGAGGATCATGGTTCAAGGCCAATCTGGGCAAAAAGTTAACAAAACTCCATCTCAACAAACATTTCAGGTGTAATGGCTCATGTCTGTGATCCCAGCTATAAGGTAGGGGGTTTATGATCTGAGGTTAATCCTGGGCAAAATGAGACACCCTACCTGAAAAATAAAGCAAAAAAAGAGCTAGGGATATAGCACATGAGGTAGAGCACCTGCTTAGCCAGTGTGAAGCCCTGAATTCAAAGCCCAAGTCTTTGAATATTTAGACAAAGAAATGGGGGAATGTCATTAGTATGGGCCGTACCTGTCACTTCACAGAAACACCACAGCAGTGTCTAGCACTGAATACCGAGTCATTGCCTCTAACTCCCACATTCAAGCAGCTCCTTGGCTGATTCCACAGAGAATGTCAGGGAGGGTAACGGGAAAGCAGACACTTCTTAAAAGGTAAGGACACTCGTCCTTCACAAACACGTTCTGACTAATATCCGAGCGCCAGCATGACCGCCAGAGCACCATAGGCAGGAAGGGACGCCTCAGGAAACACCTGCTTCGGTAATGACCAAAACATATGACAAGTCCTAATTCATGTTCTTTGCCTTCCAAATACTTCTTTCCTGCTAGTAATCTTAATTTTCACTGTTTTTCCTGTGTCCTTCTCAAATTATCTTTTTGTACACACTGGGAAGGTAGTTTGTTAACAGTCTACAGATCATACAAAGCCCTATAGCGTAATTGATAAGTCATCCCCTTCAAGATGTACAGCCTTTCCTGGTTAGTCTTTGGTAGCAACCTACAAATATTCCTGACTCAACAGTTTCAAATGAGAAAGAAAAACTTAAATGGAGTGAGAGAGCCCTCCAGGTACCAACTCACTCCCAGGGACTTAGGTTCTCTCTTTTTGCTCTGTCACCCTTGAGCAGGACATAACATCAGAACAGGACACCAACAACTGCTAGCAATACAAGAAAAATATCTGATCAATACTGTGGACCACATCCTCTTTTGAATATATTTGCTTTTAAGTGGTGGGTTTTTTACGGAGGAGTGGGGATAGTGCTAGGACTTTGCACATGCTAGGCAAGCTCTTTCCCATTGAGCTATGCTCCTAACCCCTTAGGTGGCTTATGTTTTTAAATTGAACCAGTTATTATACAACTGAGAAACCAAAGTAGAGCGCTGGTCTGATTTCCTTCACATCTGTCTACTCATTTTCCAGTGTCTTCTTTTGCCAACTAGTAGAGACTGTATTGCCTGAGTTTCTTGGACTTTGGGGGTTTTATTTGTGTGTTCATATGCACAGAAACCTGTCTTCCACCCAGCCAGTTTTATCTCCCACTTTGTTCAGGTCTCAGCTAAGGGTCCCTTCCTCCAGGAGACTTCCCTGACTCCACATTCAGGGATGGGCTATTAGTTAGCAGGCCTATTGGCAAGTGTTCAGGAAGCTTGAAAGTTGGTTGTGAAACACAGCCATTATTCTTATTCTTATTCTTATTTTAGAAACAAGGGCTCACTCTGTTGTGCCCAAGCTTGCCACAAACTCCTGGGCTCAAGCAATCATCCTGCCTCAGACTCTTGAGTAGCTGGGACTACAGGCATATACTACCACACCAAGCTTAACACAGCCATTGCTTAAAATTAAATTATATTGCCAGGGATGTAGCTCAGTGGTACAGTGTATGCTTTGCACACACAAGGCTCTGGGTTCAATCCCCAGTACAACAATAACTAATAATAATAATATAAGCTTACAATTAAGATTATATCTAAAACAAAGCAATAAATATTCAAACCTCAAAATCCCTATTTTTAACTATACTATTATCTATGGAATGTATCATAAGTGAAATGTAAGCTAAAGAATACTGAATGTTGTATGTAAATTGTATGCTACTCATCTTTTTTATCAATAAGCATTCTGTTTTGGCAGTACTGGGGTTTGAACTCAGGACCTCACACTTGCTAGGCAGGCCTCTTGCTGCTTGAGCCACTCCTCCAGCCCTGTATCAGTAAATATTTTGAATAAACTTATGTGTAAAAGTATCGTCCAAGAGCTGGCTGTCAAATGTTTACTGCACATCACTGACTGTAGCCCCACCCTAAACTAGGTCAAGTACCCTGTTATGGTCCTATAGCATCCTGAACTTGGACTTGGTAACACTATACAAGAGTAATTAGATACTTTAGTCATTTAATGTTTGCCCTCTGAGGTGGAGCCCTATAAGTCAGGGACTGTGATATGTTCAAACCCTGACATGAACAAGCAACACAGTTCATTTCCCCTTTATATCCTGACCTCCCTTACACTGCTCTGGGGCCACACCTTTTATCAAAAACTCCCCTTCCTGCTCTGCCTTCAGGTCAACAGGAGAGGTGAATCCATTTACCTTCATAACCGAGCCAACTGGGTGACCGTCGGCATGTGTTCTTCCAGTCCCACTCACAAGATCCCCAATGTGATGCTGCTGGCATACCTAACGCCTGCTGCTCAAAAAGGTTCAGGAGCCCTCTTTAAAAGCCTGCTGGAATCTCCCTCTACAGAGAAGCTGGTGCTCACCAGGTGAGTCACAAAGAGGTTAAGAGTCTCTCAGAAAATATCTTTATCCCTGGGGAGCCGATCATGGAAATACTGATGAACACTGCTCTAAAGGGGTATCCTGCTTGCAAATTCTCAAGTGGTGTCCTTACAGTCCAGGAAAATGGTTTAGGACAAACCCAGTCAAACAGGAGCTGAAGGCTCCTAACAGACCGCTTCTAGGAGCATGCCTTCTCTCCCCCCACATCCTCACTTCCACAAGAATTAGCTCTGTTCTTGCCCCAGCCACCAGCTTGCTCTATGGTCTTGAGCAAATCACTCCACTTCTCTAAGCCTCAACTTGTTAGGGCAATTTCTATGTCTTTTTGGGACATCAGAGTCTTGGACAAATAGCTATGATGAGATGGCTGCCAGAAGCCCCTTCCCAGACCTACCTGGGACACAAACAAGCCTGTTGTCCTGAGTCTCATTCTTCAAGCTGCTATAAACTGTAAAAGAGAAGGTGTTTTTAATAATCTCAACCAGGTTGCCGGATGATATTACATTTGGTTTGTTTGCAGGTTTCTCCCTCTTCAGTTTGTGACTCTTTCTGTGCACGATGCTAAGAAAATGTGCCTCAAAGTAAAGCTAGTAAGTGGCCGGGTCTACTACTTACAGCTCTGCGCCCCTGCCTATAAACAGGATGCCTTATTTTCCCAATGGCTGGACCTCATCTCCCTCTTGAGTCAGGAGAAAGCCAAGGTGTCCGAAGTGTCAGAGATCTCAAGCCTGTCAGAAATCACAGGCTCCAGGGACATCATGGATATTACAGGGCTCACAGCTCTACAGACCCTGCACAGGTACACATACGCAGACAACATACATGTCATGGAAAGCATAGACTTCTCAGAAATCACAGATGTCACCGATATCACTGATGTCACAGATGTTCCAGAAAATGAGGTCCCAGAAGTCCCAGATGTAAGAATTGTCACAGAAGTCACAGAAGTCATAGAAGCAACAGAAGTCTCAGATAACTCTGATGCCACAAACTTCTCAGGGGTCACAGTGGTATTTGAAAATGATGACATAATAAGGGCCAAGCAAGAGGAACAGGTATGTGACACGGAAGACTTTCATTCTTTAATAATGTAGCCCTGGGGCCATAACCAAGGTTATGGTTCTCAGTTAGCTGATGCTGATTATCAAAACGCTATGGAATCTGAGGTACCTAATATTAGCAATGAGATCCAGGCCCTGATCCCTGGTGCAAAGGAGTTGTAAGACATCTCCTGACAGGGCTGGCAGAGTGGCCTACATGGTAGAGCACCGGCCTAGCAAGCATTAGTCCCTGAGTTTAATCCCCAGCACTGCCAATAATAATAATAATAATAACAATGTCTAGTGAAATAGGCAGGGACCATCCTTACCATCAAGCTTAACCCAGTATCAGAAAGCTATGATGTGCTGGGCCCCAGTGGCTCACGCCTGTAATCCCAGCTACTCAGGAGGCAGAGATCAGGAGGATCACGATTCAAAGTCAGTTCCAGGCAAATAGTTTGAGAGACTCTATCTCAAAAAAAAAACAAAACAAAACCCATCACAAAAAAGGCTGGTAGAGTGCCTCAAGTGATAGAGCACCTGGGGGCCAAATTAAGAAGCAGGCACTTCACTCTTTGGGCAAACCTTAGCAACTAAGGGATCCTGTATAAGGGGACGAAGGAGCTGGGTTGTTTTAATGATTAATCTGATGACAAGATGAATTATAAAACAGAGATCAGTTTGAAGACAATTGTTGAAAAATCTCCACTAGGTCCACCATAGAGGATAGGCATTTCACAGAAGAAACCTGTAATAAATAATATTAGGAACATTTAAAATCCTTTTATGTATTTTTAAATCTATGGTCACTGCATTGTGCAATACAGCACCGGAACACGCTCCTCCCGTCTAGCTGTTGACATATCTCCCTCTTCTCCACCTACCACAGCCCCCCAAAAAAGGTGATACGTGTATCTGTTAAATAGAGTAAAACCAGTCAAGGCTAGTGAAAGTGCAGTCAAAAGTTCATAGTGTAGACAAGAACTTGAAATTATTAGAATCAAGAACCGTAACATTTATGCCCTTTCACAGGAAGAAAGATCTAGCTCAGGGGTGGAGCATGTGCTTAGCACTCAGGAGGCCCTAGGTTCAATCCCCAGCACCACACACACATAAAAGATGTCAATCATGCCATATCTGTAGCAGTCCTACCATAAGGAAATAATGAAAGCAACCAAAATATCCACCAAAAATGGCTAAACAAATTTAGACCTATGAAGGGCAGGAGCCCCTTAATTTGTTTAGGTGCTGCCGTAGTATTTGGTGAGCACAGAGTAAAACTTTGCTAAATAACTTACTATTTTGTAGTTATTAAAATTGTTGAAATGTGTTTCTTGGCCTGGAAAAATGTTCATGATATAAATTTGAGTGAAACATGAATACGATCCCTAGATGTAAAAGTACATTTTCATACATACACTAAAAGAAAATATCCACGTTGTGAGTAGCTTATTTCTAGATAGTAGGATTATGGGCAATTTGTGTCTTATGTACCCTTTTTGAATTCTGTTTCATATGAAAAAGTCATTTTTAATTTGGAAACATTCAAGTAGTTTTACACACTATTTAATGATGAGAGGAAAATGCTTATTTATTACAAAATGCTAGGTAAAAAATGTAGGTGATAACTTCAAAATGATCTCAAAACAGATATATACAAATGGTATAAATGAAAAAAAGATGGAACTTAAATGTGCTCAGTTGCTTCTGGGCAGTGGCGAGAGTAGTTTCTACATTTCACTTCTTTATTTTTTAGAGAATTTTGTAAATATTCTATGTAAATATGAATTAATATCATTGTCAAAAAAATGAAATTTGTAGCTGGGTGCCAGTGGATCACACCTATAATCCTAGCTACTCAGGAGGCAGAGATCAGGAGGATCACGGTTTGAGGCCAGCCCAGGCAAATAGTTTGTGAGACCCTATCTGGGAAATACCGATCACAAAAAAAGGGCTGGTAGAGTGGATCAAGGTGTAGGCCCTGAATTCAAACCCTAGTACAGCAAAAAAAAAAAAAAAAATTAAATTAAATTTGGTGCTAGGGTATGGCTCAAGTTGCAGAGCATTTGCATGGCAAGTATGAGGCCCTAAGTTCAAATCCCTATATTGCCAAAAAAATTTAAAATGGAGGTTTATCTTAAAAGAACTAGTCAATTGTATTGTTTTCAAGGAAATGTGACAGGAGTAACGGGCTCGGCAGTGAGTGTCAGGAGGAAGGCACAGATGTGAGGTGTTAGAAGCTCAGGCTTTGGGTCTCACTGACTGACTGCTCCAGGCTGAGGTGTTCTGATGAGTGAGTGACTGGGAGAAGTGGTCCACCGACAGATACTAGGAAGTTAGGAGACAGGGCTAGATTTTAGGGGGTTACACTTTAGGTAATTTTGAAAAACAAACTCTTTCATATTATTTTGAGCCCACGCCACATTAGGTACTCTTACTGAGGAGCAACCTTAGGCTGGACTGCAGGTGTGAGGCATTTCTAGGAAGACTCAGAGACAAGAAGTGTTGGCTGTAATCAGTGCCAGTTGTCTTGTTGCTGTGACATTGATCTATGTGACAAGGCAATCTTGTGAATGAATGTGGTGTCAGTCCTTGGTTCCCACACTGCTGCCTCCAAGGCCAGCCTGCGCTGTTCCCCAAGACCACGCAGCACCGTGCCTGGCTCCCCAGTACTCACAGACACTCAGTGAATATGAGTGATACCCTTCTGTGTGGTGCTTTCTAACACCTGGTTTGCTGCTGCTTTTGTTACCTTCAAAGGAAAATGTTCTGAAGCACGGGTGTCTACAGGATACAAAAATGAAGAATGAGATCAAAGATTCCCCAAAATGTCTCACCATCTCAAATGTAACACTGACTTTCCAAGGTGAAAGATGCTTTCAGACTACGTTGACTCCTGTGAAAAGTGAGGAAAACTTATCCAAAGAGAAGTCTGATAAAAACTGTGAAGAAAAGACGACTGATTTTAAAAACACTGCTCTCAAGGCTACAGAACCCAGGTACGTGAGGCAGGAAAGCGTGTGGGCATTCCTAGTGTGCAGAAATGAAACAGGCAGGTGCTTCGAAGTCCTGGGACTTGGGCATTTGTCCCCAAAGATAATGCAGACAACTCCTAATTATGCACATTCGGCTCACCCTTGGTCAGCTTTCATTTCCACACCAGATTATTCCACACCTCAGTGTTCGGCTGTGGGCCTGTGCTGATTTTGCGCACTTTAGAAAATATAACAGAATCACAGTGCTTGTATTTTAGAGTTGGCGCACTGAGATCTAGAGTGATTGTGGGCACTTTCCCTTTATTTTTACACTTCTCTATATTTTCTCATTTCCATACCCTTTATAGATCCCTTATACGTCTCTATATTGCCAATAATCTGAAAAAACTACTTTCACAATTTTAATAGCTTCATTGCAAATTTGATTGCAAACTGAATGTGAGTATGGTAGTGTAATAAAGATAAAAGTCAATCAGATCACTCTGGAGTAACACCTAAATAGAAACCATATCTAAATGCTTACTATTCAGCTGAGTGTTTGGTGCATACCTGTAGTCTCAGTTACACTGGAAGCAAAGGCAGGAGCATCCCTTGAGCCTGAGAATTCCAGACCAGCCTGGGAAACAGAGCAAGACCCCATGTTTACAATATTAGCAAGAATTAAAATAAGGAATGTAATTATGTCTACTTTTTCAAAATATATTTTAAAAAGAAAGGCTGGCAATATAGCTCAGGGGTAAGCACTTGCCTAGCATGCATAAGGCCCTGTGTTCCATCCTCAGCACTTCCTAAAAACAGTGTGTGCACATGTGTGTATGTGTACACATGCATGTGTGTGCATGTGTGTGCACAGGTACATGTGTGTGCATACCATGTGCATGTGTATGTGTGCTTGTGTGTGTGTGAGTATGTAAGAACAGGGGAAACTGGAAAAATTAATCTAAAAATGAAATTAACTTGAAAATCGTTAAATAACTTGAAGTGCTAAGACCTTGGCTGATTCTTCAAAAAAAGAACAACAAACTGGCAAACTATTGGGATGGCTATTTTTTTTTAAAGAGTAAAATTGAAAACTTAAAAGATACATCAATGAATAGAAAGAATAGTAAACTTATTGAGAAATGATATATTCAATTTTGCTTTAAAAACTTAAAAACTCGAAGTAAATGACTTAAATTAAAAAAATAAAGCAAAATGGCAAAACTGTCACAATTAGAACTTAAAGAACTTAAAAAAGAAACAGAGCTCCCCTTAAAGACTCAGATACAGTCTGTTTCTTGGACAGTATTTTAGACGCTCCAAGAATTGTCTCTATTTTGTATGTCTCATTTGAAATTTAGAAAAATATTATGTTTTATTTTCTCTTTTGTTTGCTTTTCATAAAGACAAAAAAATCAATATAAGAAAGAAAATTTCAAAATAATCCTACTTATGACTATAAAGGCTAATTTCTTAGAATCTCAGCAGGCAAAATGTTGCAAGTTCAGTATAAAATTAGGGAAACTGTTCATTTAATCATACAAATATAGAAGAACAGAAAATTCACTACGCTTTTGACACTTTTGAAGATTTTCTATTCCTGATCACAGGAAAGACTCTTGTGGTAGTGAGTCTCCCTCTATCACAATAAAGAATAGTCACTGCAAACCAGAGCAAGATGTTTTTCTGGCAGTACTGGGTTTGAATTCAGGGTTTCATGCTTGCCAGATGGAAGCTCTACCATTTGAGTCACTTGCCTAGCCCTTTTTGCTCTGGTTATTTTGAAGATTGGGTCTCACTTTTTGCCCAGGCTGGCATGGAGTGCAATTTTCCTATTTTACACTTTTCACTGTACCTGGGATGACAGGAATGCACTACTGCACAGTTTTTTCAATTGAAATGAAGTCTTATGAACTTTTTGCCAGGACTGGCCTTGAACCATGAGTCTCCTGATCTCAGCTTGCCAAGTATCTAGTATTATAGGTGTGAGCACCAGTGTCTGGCTTGTTTCTTGTTTTTTGAGGCAGGGTCTCACTCCATAGCCTAGACTTAAACTCTAAATACTCCTTGCCTAAGCCTCCCAAGTGCCGGGATTACAGACATATACCACAAACATGGCAGTATTTTTTGTTGTTGTTTTCTTTATTCTTTCCTTTTTTGGCAATATTATTTTTAATACATTCTAGAAATATTTTATTTAAAACTTAGAACAAACTAAGAATGTTCCAAGTAACATTCCTATGTAATATAATTTAACAAGTTCTAGCAATTATAATAGATAAGTAAATAAAAAAATAAAATAAAATTTTAAAAATACTCTTGGAAAATGGCAATTTGTGATTAAAAAATGTGAGAATCAACAAAATGTTATTTGTAAACAAGTTTAGGAAAGATAAATTCACAAAATTTTTTAAAAAACCAAAAGTATACTGGGCAAAAGATATTTTTATATAAATACATTTTTAACAGCAACAGAATCAATTATTTAGTGAGGATGATAAGAGACATATACAAATAGAATTACAAAGCTTAATGGTTGGCTGTAGCTCAGTAGCAGAGTGCAAGCTTAGCATCTGCAAGGCCCCAGGTTTGACCCCAATATACCCCGAAAATGCAAAGTTTACAATATAGAAATAAAGAAGCAAAAGTGTATTAAAACTGATATCAGTTCAAAAGAGGCACAGAAAAAGTAGAAAGAAAATGTTAGTCAAACTTTATGTTGTACCAACAAAAATTAATGTCAGATGGGAAAAGAATAAGTTATTTTAAAAACTAAAATAAGCTAGAAGAAAACAGAATGGGGTCATTGTCTCAGTTACAGAGAAAGTTCATTTCTTGTCCACTGAAGCAACAAACACAATTTTCTTTACTTATTTTTTGGTACTGGGGTTTCAACTTAGGGCCTTGCACTTGGCACTCTACTTGAGCCACCCACCCCCCCCAGCCCTTCTACACTTTAGTTATATTTCTGATAGGATCTCATGTTTTGGGCTGGAGCCAGCCTGAAGATATTCCTGCCTATATCTTCTACATAGCTGGGATCACAGGCACTTCTCACCATGCCCAGTTTGTTGGTTGTCATGGATCTCACTAACTTTTTGCCTAGGCTGGCCTTGAACCTTGATCCTCCTGATCTCCACCTCCTAAATAGCTGGGATTACAGGTATATACCACCATGCCTAGCACAAAAAACATAATTTTCCACAGCCAAGTTTGATTTATTCACTCAGTAATATTTACCAAGCATGGCACTAAGGATATAGCCATACAAGTAACCAAGTCCCTATCTGTTGAAGTCTTCTATTTTCTGATGGAGAAGATAGATCATTAACAAAACATATTATGCCTATCAAAATGTACTGTGATAAAAACTGAGAGAGACAGAAACAGAAAGAGATAAAGATATTTTACATGGGGGGTCAAGACACTCTCTGAGAAAGGGCCATTTGAGCAGAGAACTGAGAATGTATGACGTTCTAGAGGAATAGATTTCCAAGCTGTTACAAACATTTGCTAAATAAGTGATTTTAATGCACACATGCATGCATGCACAACAACAGAATGGGAAAAGAAGAAGATTCAGCTTTAAGTCATTGGTGGGAATTTGTAAAAGATCCAGTTAAAAAATGGTTTAAGACAAGAATAGCAAATTTATTCCACAGACAAATAGTTGAAGAGGGAGTGACCTCACTAATAATAAAGAAGTACAAGTTAATCAATTACACTTGGCTTTCCACTGGACGTCCATAACATTCATGATGTCACTGTACCTGGTGGCAAGTTTTCTATGGGGTGACTTGGGGTTCATATTATAAATGGTATTCCCCTGAGCTTGTAGAAATGCATGTCAGAGTGATAACACAAAGGGGGAGGTAACTTGTTTGAGCATAGTGCTGCATAGTTAAAACCCGCAAGTAATCTAAATGACCCCTGGAGGAAGAGTAGCATTGATACTGGAGACTGTTCTCAGAAACAGCAATGTGCAGAATTTCAATGACAAGGTCTATGTGACCAATAAGGACTAGAAGAGGAAAGTTCCAAATATGTGTATGTGATGATATTCTGTTTCTACAATAGGATGCTAAGAACCAGTTTGAGCATAGTTGATTAAAGGAATTGATATTTGTTGCAACTATTGATAGATGTTTCTATTAAACTTTTATTACACAACAGATTACATATAAAATTTTGATGTTAGGATGCATTAACCGGGGGAGAGTTTCACATAGCAACTACAGGATGAGCTTTGCAGTTAGATCCCTGGGTTCAAATCCTGGCTCCTCTACTAGCTCTTTGATCTTATTCAAGTGACTTCTGCAGGTCTCAGTTTCCTCATTTTTAAAATGGGAATAATCCCAGTCATTTGAGTTATCATAGAGATTAAATAGCTCACAACTGTCATATACATATACGGTGAGAAGAAGGGAAGGAAGGAAGGGACAGAGGGACAGAGGCAGGGAGGGAAGGAAGGAAGGTAGGTTCAGATTCTACATTTGATTCACACTGAATACAGTACAAAGATGGTTCTATATCATGCAGGACTGCTAAAGTAATCTTTCCACTATACCACCCAGTAAACTGAAGCTAGAGAAGAACTGGGGGAAGAACAAAACTTATTATTTTAATTTAATAAAAAATTGGAATGAGCCAGGCACTGGTGGCTCATGTCTGTAATCCTAGCTACTCAGGAGACAGAGATCAGAAGGATTGTAGTTTGAGGCCAGCCCAGGCAAACAGCTCAAGAGAGAGACCCTATCTCGAAAATGTCCAATACAAAAAAGGCCAGGTGGAGTGGCTGAAGTGATAAAAGCGCCTGCCTGGCAAGCATGAGGCCCTGAAAAAATCTTTCTTAAAAACATCTTAAACAAATGAAGATTAATTACTCCAATCTGGGTTTATTTATTTATTTTTTTTGAAGTGCAGAAAAAGGTTTATTTCACAGTATAGGCATAGTGTAGGAAGAGACAAAGTGAGCCCTGGGTTTATTTTCAATCTTCTTTCCTAGCAAAGTAGGGGTCAAGGAAAGCAAAGGAACATAAGTGATCCTTAGGAGAGCCAGGGACTTGAAATCAGAGGAATGTTGGTTTTAGCTGGTAGGCACACACTTCTCCCAATTCCAGAGGCTCCAGGTCTAAGTGCCAACACGGTCAAGGTGTGGGAGCTTGAATGTCTGCTCAGGAGAAACACTGTTTGCTATCAAGGGTTCTCACAACTAGCTAGCATTTGTTG